GGGGGGTGTTCTGTGGCAGAGCAGGGAGCTGGCACGTTTCCTGTTTTTGCGTGGGTGCAGAACTGTCAAGCAGACCTTCTCCAATCCCTCTGCGTGTCAGCGCTCTTGGCAGCTGTCTCGATGTGTATCTCCTCTTGTACCTCAGAGCTCAGACATTCCTGAAAGGCCCTTTTCCTCCCTCAACATTCACGGGGGGGGGGAAAAAAAGAGGCCATGTCTTTGCATTGTTCTTTCTTCGACATTTAAGAGCACACAAAAGATTTTTTTTCCACCCCTTGAGAATCAAACTATTTCCGGGCTTCCCCCTTGGCATATAATCCTCAGAAATATAGAGGGTTCGTATTGCACAAAAATTGATATCTGCCGTAATGATCGTGAACGCACTGGATTGCCCAATCGAGGGTGGTGTGCCAAGCTTTGGCATTCGTTTTGCCTCTAAGCGAAACAGGTAAGATGTGCTGTAATTGAATATTGATGTCAGTTTTAATTACGAGGTAAGAGAGGATATCTGCGCCAGCGTGCGGGTCTTTCTTAACACGCACATGCGAAGATGTGCAAAGACATTGTCCCGAGTTGGAAAAAGATGTTAAAGCTCTTTATAAGGCTAAATAACTCCGATAATATTCTTCAAAATGTATCGTGTTTGTAGCACTGAAAAAAAATATCTGAAAAGGCGAATTTGTTAGTTTGGTTCTTATGTTCTCACTGAGAAATAAAGTGGAGAGAGACCCCCGGACTCCCGGCGGAGACTGAAATGAAAAAGTAACTCGGAGGAAGTGCAAACCAGGAACTTCCACCCTCTGCTGGAAGTTCACTCCTCAAGACAAAGAAAAGGACTTTAGAATCGAGCACACGACACCGTGGGAGGAACTGGAGATTCAGACTCTGATGTCGTGTTTGATCTTGAAGAGCCGTCTGGAGCAAAAAAAGGGGGGGATAAGTTTTAATACACACATGCAACATCAGTATATATTCGACTGAAATGTGTTGTCGTTTTAGCTATCACCCTCTTTGGGAAGGGTCAGGCAAGATTACTCTCACATCACTGCGGGAGGGGCTACGTGTCTCCTCCAGTTTACAAAGCTTTTCCCGGCAAGCATCTGCAACGAACCTGGGGAGGACCCTTAAAACAATGTACCAGTATTTAAAACAAACTCTTAAGCTCCTATTTCTGATGCGAATAGCACCACACGCCCCTCCCTTCACCCATCAGATATTAAGTGACCACGAATGGCGTCACCACGTCCCAGTGCTTAATTAGGACCATTAGGAGGCGCTTTCCAACGGGCGCATGCGCAAACATGGCGGTTTAAAGCCCACAAACACGGTGTTTCTTCAAGATGTGCGAAGGTGCGAACAGTCCTCTCCTTACACGGAAAGGTGAAAAGGGGACGACCGTTTTCCACAATTTAGTGAGGTAGGACAGTGTTCCTCAGTAATATACATAGGAGCTGAAAAAAAAGCTGTTTGTGTTACCCTAATTTTTAAATATTGTGTGCTCCTGTAGAGCTCAGCCCCAAATTCGTCATAAACTTTAGACAATGCAGGGTTGGTTGGCATTTATACATTTTGGTTATGAGAGCGTTTTGGTACTGATAAACAGGCTTCTGTCAAGATGGTTCAATTGCCTTTGTGGTGTGGGTCTTAAAGGCCATGGGAAGACACAAGCTCCTACATGAGAGATCCATATTTGACGTCTCCAGCATTAGACATAGTGCAGTATAGGGATGAGCCCCATTCACTGTCTGGAGTATTATATGGCTGTGGTGATTGATGCTGATAATACACATCTCCACACCTCATCCCATGAGCATTTAACTGATTTAAGATCCGGCTTTATAGTGGGCCCAGTGCTTGATATTGACTCCCTATTGGCCTAGAAAGTTATTTCTGCTTTCTGACTCTTGCCTCATGGGGATGAGCACTATCTTGTTGATAGATTGTGGAATTATGTTTTATTTACATTATGTTTATTTTGCTGTTGCTTATCGCAACAGGAGAGGCACAAGTATCAAAAATGTGATCATCATAATACCGTGCACTGAAATCACCCACCATCAACAAGAGCGAGCCAGTCCTGAAAGTCAACACCAACACCTCCCACTCCATTAATGCTAATGGTCACCAAAACAGTCATTGTCTTGAGCTGGTTTTCTTCTACTGTTACCAAAAGAGAGACAGGACTGCAATTCATCAGTAAGGAGTCCCTTTCCTTGGTGGATGTTGTCCATGCTCATGTGCCAATTGCAGACATGTCACCCCAGTGATATCCGAAAGCAGGAGCTGTCTGATGACTGTAATCGGGGTCCTCCCGGATGCCCAGCTGTGTTAGTACCAATAGCTGCTGCATGTGTGAAAGTGATCCATCGGATTGTCCCTCTGACAGAGTAGTTA